GGGGGGGGGAGGGGGGGGGGGGGGGGGGGGAAGTGAAATTTGCCTCAGCCTCCCCCCCACCTCCCCCCCCCCCCGGGAGAAGCCTCTTGTGGTGCGTTAGCCGCTGAAAGTATGAACGGATGGCCTCGCCCAGGACAGAATTGCTTTCGGAGGGCAAGCAGTAAAAAGCAGGCAGTAGTCAACAGGTGTAGCTGTCCCCATCCCTGGCTCCTGTGGTGAGGAAGAAAGGCTTACCTATGGATTTCTGCCTGGGTTGGAGCTGTATTAAGGAAGGGGTTTCGCCCCGTTCTTCAAAAGTTCCTGTCGGCGCCCCATCTGAGAGGTTGCCTCTTTTCTCTTCAGGGTTGAGGGAAAAGTTAGTTTCCACATTTCTCTTTCTTCCTGGTAATGATAGGACTGATGATGGCCAGTTATGTATGTAAGATATGGGCTTGGTGGCACTATTCTTTGCCTTTATGTGTTGATGTATGGCATGCATTCATTGAGGTGACTTGACATGCCCGCACTCTTGTTATAAATGCTTCTCAGTCTCTCTTGGGATTTCACCTCTTCCAGCAATCCTTCTTCCTTTTCTTTCTCCTTTCTTCCTCCTCCTCCTCCTCCTCCTCCAACTATTCCTGCCCTGCAATTGGATGTTGGGTGTTGGTCTCCTGAGAGAGATGAAAACAAAAGTGATGTGAGTTTTGCATGACTCTTCCCAAACTGTTTGAGAAAACGTGTTCTCGCCCCAGGAGATGGGAAAGTTGCATCCACTTTTATAATTCAATGGATACTTGAGTGGCTCCAGGTAGGTTTCTGAAATTTCCTCAAGGTAGTTCTATTTATTAACCTACCTTAGTTTTTCTTACACACCTAAAAGTAATAATATATTAAAACTTGTTTGCCACCTGACTCTCAACAACTCTGTGTCTTCCTTTTGCCTTGAGATTTGATGGTTTGATATTCCTATACCCACTCATTAAAATAAAACTATGATGGCTAAGTGAAAAGACCACATGGCTGGAGGCACACATCATGCTAAACCATGGTTTGATTATTGTGTCTTGTAGACCAAACCATAGTTGGTTGGGTGGATACAACATGCTAAACTACATGTTTTGGGGAAACCGCTTCCTGTTCTGGACAATTGCTGCTGAAACACAAAGATCAGAAAAGTGGGATGTTCTGGAGAAAAACCAAATGCTGTGGTGCTTGATTGCTCTGTTTTGTACATCTGTAGAGAGCCAGTTTGGTGTAGTGGCTAAGGCATCAGATTACAAACCGGGAGACCATGAGTTGTAGTCCCGCCTAGGCACAAAGTCAGCTGGATGCCTTGGGCCAGTCACTTTCTCTCAGCCCTACAAAGGATGCAATGGCAAACCACTTCTGAAAAACCTTGCCAAGAAAACTGCAGGAATTTGTCCAGGCAGTCTCCAAGAATCGGACACAATTAAATGGATTAAAAACAAAAATTCCATCACTTGTTGCCTGATAATTTAATTGCAAATGGAGGGAACCCTTTTTTATCTAAAACAGATGGTCTATCACTGTAGTTTGCAGCCCCTCATCTATGATCTGTATATTTATGCAAGTAAATTTATGGTGCTTTGGCAAATTTAACAGTTAACATTAATAATCACTTTGGTGACTTCCATGATTAGGGAAAAAATGTATCTTACTTTTTGAGTACATGTGACTTTTTAGTACATCACAAATGCATATCAAGAGGCCCCAGGATAGTGTATCAAAACCTTGGGTACAATTTCTCCAAGAATTGCTGCTAACTTGTAGTTTTTAGAATTACAGTTTAGTCAGAGAGGGAACTTATTAAATGCATAAGGTATAAACTTACATACTGTAATTAATATACTTCTATTTATTTTAGTTTTACATTATATTAAATTTCCTTTGGCTCTGCCAAATGCAATTCTCAGCATGAAAAATCTTGTGCATTCTTGGGGTAGATAATTGGAACTAACTTACCATAAAAATGTCTGCTTCTTGCTGGTTGTGATTACTGTATTTTTATTCTTGCACCCTGTTTGTTTCAGTTTAGACCATGTCAAAATCCTTGAAAAAGATCGTAGAGGAAAGCAGGGAAAAAAATATATTGGAGGTGGACATGTGTGAGCGTGGCATATCAAACATGTTGGATATACCTGGTTTATGTAAGTATTTTGCTGCCTTTCTCATCTTAGTGCTAGTTTAATCATTTCTGCAGGCATAAATGTGTTTCCATAGGGACTTGATAGGTAAAGTACAGATTATCTTCCAAGGATAGTAATCTTGGAAAATGTTTGACTGTCTGATATATTTGAATGATACAGTACCTTCCTTTTATTGTGTAGTTTTTCCTCTTGGTCACACTTTTGGTGAATCAGTCTTGAGAGCTGCTGTTGTACAATAGCAAAGACTATGAATTAGGAAGCTTCAGTTTCAAAACTTAATTTGTCCAGGAATTCAACAGGTGGCACAAATAAATAAACCTCTTTCCTCATCAGGTCTTGAGTGTGATATGGCAGTAAGTATATATTGCTGCACATTCTTATTACATAAGCATAAAGATTACTTTGATATGTATATGAATGCCTTCTACATAGATACACATTTAATTATTATTAATAATAATAGTTGTGATGATTTTACATCTAGGATTCAAGGCAGCATGCCCCTGGATCCTGGTTTCCAGGAAATAGGAAAATAAGGCTTTAGACATTATGCCTTGCTTGTGAGCTTCCAAGGACATCTGGTTGGCCATTATGGGAAACAGTATATTAGACTAAATAGGTATATGATTTGATTCCATAGAGCATTTGTTTGTTTGAGATTATTAAAAAAAAAACAGATTCACAACCTGAAGGCCAAAGTTCACATCCATTCCTTCCCTCAAAAGCCTTTAATACCTTTTCCATGTTGGATTTATCATGAGAAATCATTATTTGCTATACTTAAATAGTTTAATTTATTTAATTTTTTCCCTGTCCTAATCTACTTCTACCCACCTACTTCTAATTTTGGGAATGTGGCCCCCGGCATACCACTCAAAAACCAAGTGTGACTTGCAGTCTCATAAAAAATTGCATATCTTGGTCTAAAAGGTCTTTATAAACCAAACAAAAAAAAAATTAGGTTGAGTTCAGAGGGTTTTTTCCCTACTGCCAACAAGACTATTTCTAAGCAGAGTTTGGCTCAGTACACTCTGGCTATATGCTAGATTGAGAATTTGTAAAGAAAATATACAACAAATTAATAAAATAAACAAATAATAAACAAATCAATTTGTTATTATTGGATAATGTCTTTGATGGAAATAGCTTCATCAGAGATACTTTTTCAGGCTTAAATATAAACTCATGGGATGACATTCAGTATTCTCCGAACAGACATACTTGCTCTTTTTCCTGTACAGCCTTTGTACAACTTCTTCTACAGTCTCTTTTGCTCTAGCAAGTCCCTAAACAACTGGAACAGATGTGGAAGAAGAACTGTTCCACTAGCTGATTCTTTTTTTCTCAACAAACATATACCATTGGAAGCCATCCATGACTCACAGCAGAATTAAAAAAAAAAAACATCCCTTGCCCTCCCCCATATTTTATACGTTTACTTCTGTGTATTTTGAACCATGCTTTTTGTGTCCTCTCCACTGTCATTCTGTTGCTGACTTTGTCTTTTGACAGTGCTCTAACATCTGGATATGAATACATTTAGCAAGACACAGTACTCTTTGCATTTGCTCCAATGTATTAAAAGCAAAACCGGGAAATGTCCTTTAAACTCAAATTAGACATCTCATAACTCCCTTGTAGTTTAAATCAAGAAAGTATTTATCCAAAAGGAAGATGATTTTTTTTCTCCAAATAATTTATCTTTAAATGAATCAGTTACCTTAGATTTATGGAGATGGTAATAGAAGCAAGAATGTTCTTAATATGACTTACAGAAGTAGTTCAAGAAATTTCAGTCATCGAAATATTTCAAATCATCAGGTGACTTTACAAAAAATCCAGTTGATTAAAGTAGTATTCTTTATAAAACTATGATATCCAAAGTTTTTTGAGGAAAAAATCCTCATAATTGTTGGGTGAAATAAGAGAAGAAAGCAGTATGTACACTGTCTTTTACTGAGAATGAAAGGCAGGACACATGTCATCCAATAAAATATCTATATGTGACTTTCTGATATTTCATGTTTATGTGCTTGAGTGTAATCTGATCTGTTGCTAGCTTCTAAAGAAGCCAGCCAGCCAGCCAGCCAACTTGGGTAATATGTGTCTGTTCTTTCTCCTGCTTTCTTTCTCTCTCTCTTTAATTATCTTTCCAAGGGCAGGAATATATCAGTTTCATGATAGAATAACTTCATATTCTACTTCTGGTGCTAAGGATTAAAAGATGAAAAAATACCATATTGGCTAAGACCTTTCTTTAATCTTCTTTTATAGCATGTTCTGTGAATGGAACATAAATTAGTAATGATTTTCCTGACTAGAGAAATCAGGACGAAAAAAATCTCTTTTGTAGATTAGTAACCTATCCCCTGAATCTTCAGAGACAGACAAATTTTAACTTTGTGCTAATTATGTCATAATTAATTCAGAGCTGCTGTAACAGGCTTTCTTTTTCATGATGTGACATTAGTGAAGTGGCAACACCTGTCTCAAGAGTTCCCTTTGTCTGAAACATTAAATTATCCAATCAGAAATTATCATATTGCTTAATAATGCCAAAGATGTTTAAGTTATTTATTAGTGTAGTGCAAGGCAACTTATTAGGCAGCTGCTGCACTTCAGTTCCCACTGTGGCATTTGGTTAATTAGATAGCAGTTCTAGCTAATGTCTAGACCACATGGGAAAAGAGTTAACTCTTCTTGACCAGAAGAAAATTAAAATAGTGTCAAACATGGCATCTATTTCTCAGCTATTTAAAGAAAAATCATGAAGCAGAATATACTGATTTGCTTTCAGGAGCAAGTATCTTCAGCTTGGTAGAAAGCACAAATGACAGTGCTCAGATTCTTGTTCCACTATTTACTTTCTGCTGCAGTTTCAAGGCAGGAAAGAGAAAGAAGAAAAGAGTTGCAAGATTGTGTTTCCAAGAGACAAATTCTGCCCCCAAAATTAAAATTTGTATCAGGATGGTAGTTTTCAGGATTGAAAATTAAGCTTAGATTGCATGATTTTTCTCCATCATTCAAATCCTTAGTTTCAATACACTGTTGGCTGCAGCCTTTTTTTTTTTAGTAAAATAGATCATAGGTACCGTGTGTGTACAGACACTCACACTTAAGTATAGCCATTCCTGGATTGTGAAAAGGCATAATTCAGCTTTCTTTAGCAGGTAAAGCTAGTGAAGCTCGCTAAATAGGTAATTGGGGAAAAATGACAATTTGCATTAAACACTGATGAAGAATTGAAACAGTACATGATATTTTCTCATAAGAAATGGAAGTGCTTAACTGTTTGCAGTACTGCAGAATTTGTTGCCTTATTGCTTTGAATTATTTTCTTGAACAGTGGTTTGTAGTGTTTATTTGAACTGGATAAGATTGCTATATAAAGGCTTTGATAAAATATATATATATATATTTAATTTCATCTGCTTGCTTTAATATTAAAAAAGTAAAGCTTCTTTTAAATTGAGTTCCACGACTTGTGATCAAGTGAGCTAATAAATGGTGTAAATTAAATAAACCAAGTACATAAATAAAGGAAAGGAAAATCTGTGGCATACGCCTCTGGCAACTTTTTTTTTACACAAGCTTCATCAGTAATGAATTGATCTATGCTCAATTTCCTTTTTTTAAAAAAATTGCATTTGCAGAAAAGCATTATTTGCTGGTTATCTTGTTTATGACAATTGTATCTAAGATAAACCAGGATAGTTGATGGACACTATAACTACCATTTTGAAATGTATACCCAACTTGATTGGGCAACAGATACAGCTTAGAAGTAAGAGTGCTGCAATGTGTTCTGTGCCCCACCCAGGCAAGTCCCCTGCTAATGCAGTTCCTTTTTTTTTTTTTAGGCAATCATGTGGCAAATGCATTGTCTATCCTGGGTCTTAATCTCATTCCTGCTTGTTGTGGTTAAGTAACCACATATTTTTATCAAAGCTTCACATGTAACCTAAAAGAGGTTTCCTAGTAACATTAATAGCAATCATTTTTACCACTAAAACAGAGGACTGTCTTTAAATAGCTTAGAAATAGATGCCATGTTTGACACTGTTTTAATTTAAAACAGAGGAAAAAATGTCTAATGATAAACTGGACCCTGCCAATCGTGTGCCCCGAATGTTGAACTGTAGGTCTCATCATTTCTTGTCATGATGGCTGAGGATCAGAAATTCAAGGCTGGCATATACTGTTATTTTCTTTTTTTATTAATTTCAGTGATTGAGTTTTGAGATTACTGAACAAATATCTATTTAAGTAACAAAGCTAGCAAACTTCACTGTTCGTATAAATCTTTATACAAAGTTCTGATAGTAAATATTGACATGAACTGTGTGAAATTCTGCAAATGGCTACACAGAAGAAACTCATATTGAGTTCAGTGGATTTTACTCCCACGTAGGCATGTATGGGTTTACAGCCAAACTCTAATCCATGGAGACCTTGTCTTGAATGCTAGTATTATTAATTTAATCCCAGGAAGGATAGTTACATCTTGAATGTCACATTCTGTATGTGAACATGCTCGGTAACTAGTTCCTGAGCGTGCTAAAAGAACAATGGGAATTTTTCATTTGATTTTATAATATTTAGAGCACGTTCTCTATCAAAACAATTTATTTCACAAAGCAGCAAACAGTAAAATATAAAATGTCTAAAAAAAACCCATTAAACAATATATAAAATGAATCTGAATAGAAACATAATAAAACATTGATAAAAGTACAGAATCTAAAGTTGCAGAAAATAGGATTAAAGGCCACATAAGTAAATAAATTTAAGATTAAAAATATTTTCCACTAATGCAAAAAAAAAAATCTGTTTATATTCTAAGTTGAAAGAAAATATGATTAAAAGGGTGGTAAAGCAACCACAGCATGTCATCCAGAGATGCTTTTAGGGATCAGGTAGCAGTGGGAAAATAATATTTAAGGTCTTGTCTGAAAACCTGAAGAGCGTTAAAGATTTATACTGGTACGTTGATATGGGCCAGTGAAGATTCCTAATATAATATAGTCACACCCCCTCTTTCCAGGTAATACTCTGTTGTTATTTTTGATATAATAATGTGCACTCTTTCAAAGGAGATAGCTGAAAGTCCAGAAAGGAGATGTACAGAGTCAGGTACATGGCCTTGAAGCAATTTTTTTTTTTAAAAAAACTGATGTGTAAACAAAGAGGACAGAAACATCCCTTAAGTCCTGGAAAGGGAGGTAGTATTAAGAGGAGTCTTGGGATGACTCTTCCCTGTCTCACAGGGAGGGGAGGAGATGCACAATCAGATTTTCAAGAATCTTTTATTATATGGTAGGATATAGTTTTGGTTGTCCTGTGGAGTGTGTTTCCTGATCTGGTCTATTTTGAAGGATGGACAAGAGAGTTACATGGATTGCCCTGATAGCAGTGGCTTGCTAGAAGGCTCCAAAGAAACCTTGTTCAATTCAGAATGCTGGGGTTATAGTACTATTGAAAGAGATATTGCAGCATTACTCCTTGATAACATACTCTACTAATTACTTACTTTTAATATATGAATGGGCTATGTCCATAAGCATATACATAAGCAAAGATTGTGAAAAGTAGAAGTAGGGACAGTCCAGTAAGAGTTTTATATTATGGATACTACAATGAAACTTATTTCTGAGTAAATATGCATTGTGACATGCCATTGAACTGGATATTCTTCAATGAATTTTTCATTGATTTTCTTATTTAGGGCATTGAAAATACATTTTTTAAAAATTATAACAAGTAGCCATAGACTTTAGCTACACTTTTTTCAAAGGTGTAAACATGTCATTTTCCCCTCTATTTTTTTTTTCTTTTTGACCTACATGAGTTTTACAGTAACAGCATAAACTCCTCTTTTCCTTTCTAAAAGTGAGGCACTGAATTAAAAATGACTCTAGGATGCCATCTTGTGGACCTGAAGACATAGTTTAGTGTAGCTTACCCATTAAAGATGTTGTCTAGTAGTTCCAATTACATTTTTTCTTCTCCTTATAGCTCAATCTCCCTGTTATTCTTTGTTTAGTCTTAGGAATTAATCATTTAATTGTGAGATACTAACAGAGATTTTTCCCCAAGGAATCAAATTCTTCTTCAGAAATGTTTTGAGTTGCCAAGAATGCAAAGTAGTTCTTCTAATGTAGTCTGTAGTGCAAACGGCAATGATAATTTATTCTTTTACAACCTGTTAGCAATCTTGAAAGGCACAGATGTCAAGCTAACATTAATTGAGACCTACTCAAGTATATAAACATAGTAAAGCATCCTGTCTTTAATGTTGTAATGTCTTATAGTTAATTAGTTAATTTTTAAGTTGCTTTATAGATGCTTTATCATGGCAGGCTGCTTTGTTTGTCACTCCTCACCATTATTACTGTTTTTCCCTTTCTCCATCTCATCCCCAGAGTCCAACCCAAATATGTGCTTCCTCTGCAGGTTAGATAATTATTGTTATGTAAACATTTAAGTTGATCCAGTTTATTCTTTGTGAGCTTTGTTGAGTCTTTCAAATGCAGCTATTCTATTTTTGTACTTAGTTGAACATTAGTATGAAATAAATCATAAAAAGTATATAAAACATGTACTTAAGACAAATATATATCTGTATTTTGGTTAAAATATATTTTTAAAAGATGCACAAAATAAACTTGGGTAGATTGGGCATGGACTGGAAATAGATTGCTTATCATTATGTAAATGAGTCATAATTTAAAACTTTAAAATGAAATGAAATAAAATAAAAACTAGGCAACCTAGTTCTGTGAAAAGTATTATAGACTTATGCTAGTCAAACCTACCACACAGAATAGGTCTTTAGGTAAAGTCTACAATATTTTTTATTTAAATCTTGCTAGGAAAGTATGTAAGAATATGTTCCAGCCAGTTCTTAAGATACTTTCTGCTTCTTTGTAATTCTAGTATAATTTTATTACACTAGAATTTATTCATTCCTTATTTTTCATTCCTTATTTTTCTCTCTTTATTTACAGTCACTCTGTCACATATCACACAGCTGGTTCTCAGTCACAACAAGCTGACCTGTAAGTACATTTCTAAATATTTCATTTCATTCCTGATAGAAGAGAATATATGTAGCTCAGGGTTGAACTGTGGAGTCCTTGGTGCTCTCTGAGCTTGGTGGTTTGCTTGCAGACATTTCATTACCCAATTAGGTAAAGTCATCAGTGCTGGTAAATTTGGGGTTTGCTCCCTGCTTATATTCAGTAGCTTGCCCTGCCACTGTTGATGGGGGTGTGGTTTTCTCCCTGGTAGTTCTTTGATTAGGATATTGTTTCCTGCTTGATTGTTTGTCTGGTGTTAATCCCTGCTTATCCTGGTGTTGGTTATCTGGCTACCCCAAGAGGAAAGAACAGGAGTAATCTACAACATAGAGTGTAAGGACTGTAACAGCCACTATGTAGGACAGACAGGCAGAAGACTAGCAGAACGCATCCATGAACATCAACTAGCAGTCAAGACCTGATGAAAACTCACAACACATGGATAGACTCAGCCATAGTTTTAACTGGAAAACTGTGAGCATCTAGACCAAGCTAAATCCAAAAATGCTAAGGAATTCCTAGAAGCTTGGCACTTAGACAAATAAGCCATCAGTAGGCCCATAGAGATAAACCATATTTACATCCCATTCAAAAGGGACAATAAAAAGCTAAGAAGGAAGCAAAAAGACCAGAACACATCCTCTCCAGCAACCAACACCCATATAAGCAGGGATTAACAGGAGACAAACAATCAGGCAGGAAATAGTGTCTAATCTGGTAGGTTGAGAGATTCTCCAGAGTGGTCTGATATGTTTCAGTTACTTATTTATTTATTTGAATAGCTGTGATGGCTTCTGAGTTGTATGTTTTGTTGAACAGTTTATCATATTTGTACTGCATAACTATTCATATTTGTTGAATTTTGAGACTATTAGTATTGTTTTATTAGTGCTTGAACCATACATTTCTATTTTAATGCAGTGTTCTGTGACTAGAAGATTATTTTTTGTTATTTAAACGTAATATATCTTGTGATTATAACAAATCTCTTAAGATAATACTGTATTTGCATGTGTATATAATATGCAAAATGTTATTTTAAAAACTCAAACTGTTGACACTGATGTGTGTGTAAACACATAAACACAGTTTTAAATATATTATGGTGTAAATGTGCACTGTTCCTAGTGTCTAGTTCTCTGTACAATTAGAATCGGTGTCTTTGCCATCAAGCCTCATTTAGAAGCACTCAAGCACGTTATTTTGTTGTTCTTCCATGAATAGAGCGTGACTGTGCATCAGGGAAGCCTTCACATGCAGTGCTCTACAAACAAGCACTCATTGTCAGCTCGACTAGGGAGAGCAGACCAAGAAATCAACTCCACCAGAAGGCTAAAACTACTTTTTATTGAGATTGGCTATAATAAAAGAAACTTGCAAGTCAGATTGTGTGGTATCTCTTTGTATAGTTCACTTAATTAGGGAGGTATCTGTCTGAGTTTCTTCAAACAGACAGAGTTTGTCTGTCTGTTGTGGACTTAAATATGTTTTACCCCTTGACGTTCTGCCAGCAGAATTTGCATATCTCCATCAAGGTCATCTTTCTTACTTTCTACACTTATACATAACTAGATAGTGCATGGTTCAGGATAAGGTGGAAGTCTTTGGGTGTACAGTGATGTATAGCTTTACATATGAAGGCTTCTCTGCTGCAGGCAGTCACACTATATTTGTGTGTACTATATAGAGGGGAGGGTTTGTTTATCATTGCTTCCATAGAAAGTAGTACACACAGACACATGGGCTTTAGAGAAAGATATATTTTGATCTTATTTAGAAAAAGGGATGCAAAAACATATTATTTGTGGTAAAGAGACTGGGGATTATGTAATGGTTGACTGTGATTTTTACATCACAGAACAAGGAGATACCTGAATGGAAGGAATGTTTTCTTCCTTTTGATTGTCACTTTGCTGAAGTGGCAACCATTATCATAAGTTCATTGGGTAGTAAGGATTAGAGCAGGATGAGCAACTTCTCAAGGGGAGGGGCTGAAATTCAGCTTGTCAACATCCAGGAAGCCATCCAGTAATGTGTAGTATCACTAGAAATAATGGATATGAAAATATTTAACTTGTTTTCCTATCTTAAAGAGATGTTAAGCAAGAATTACCTCCTAGAAACTTTCTGTTCACATTTCTGCTAAAAGAAACATTTTGCTACTGAGTTTCAACAGCACAGCCTTGGTGCTGGCAGAACCACAGATGAAGTGCTGAGGCCATATGCTGTCTGTGGGCTTCCCATTTCTGGACTATGTCAGGGTACTTATTAGATATTCCATATTTCCATTCTATAAGGATCCTCATGCTGGTGCACATCAATTAAAAGGTTGGCAATGTAGGTCATTTGCCTAGGTGATAAAAATAGTCTTAGTTCTACATCCCAGGCAAAATTAAAATTCCCAATATGTTGACTTATGTTGCAACTTCTCTGTCATCTTTATGGAAACTAGTTGCATTTTTAAGTGTTTTAATATAATAATTCTAAGTTGTACTTTTGAAATTTCTATGCTTTTGTAAGGCTCATGGAAAAAATTGTTGCAAGATGGACTGCAGTCCAGGTAAACAGTAAATAAAAATAAATAGTATGTCTCACCATTACTAAAAGACTGGATTTCAGTTTTCTTATTTGTCACATTTGGCATTCTTGACCTAATCCCTTAAAAAGATACAATTAATTGTCTGAGCAGATTGTTATCAAAATGACTTGGGAAAACAATGTCAGTGACACTTGATATGCTTCACTAAGGTCATATTAGCATCTCAAACTAGTTTTCTGGCTTATAAATGAGCACGCCTGCTTTGTTGTTCCACTGTTTATAGTAAATATGTCCATTTTCCAGGTGGTAAATTATTCATGAAAGGTAAACAGATGTCCAGTGTTTTCCACAGTTAGTGTTTGCAGTTCTGTCAGCCTGACAAAAACCAGCAAAACTATGTCACTACAGTAAGTCAGTGTCTTGCTTTCAAATTTTGCTACCACTTCACCATTTTATTTATATTATTCTTAGCGTGATTTTCACATTTCTGTCAATAAACTTGTCAAATGTAGGTATACCTGTATTCGTTTCATACACAGAAGAGCTGAGAATACTGTGATTATATGCATCTGTGATTTAAGAAACATGAAAACTGCAAGGGTTACCAAAAACAAAACAAAACACATTAGCAACATACTTAAATTGTTATGTAAATGTGAGTTTGCGTCCTGGAATCTTGGCTAGGTATTGAGTGAAATTTGGTTATTAGAAAGATTAAAAGCATATAAAGATATAAATACTTTGGTTATGCCAAATATATTTTGTCCTGGAATTTAGAGAGTGCTACAGTACTTCTTTCTGGAAAATTAGTAATCAGACATCCATTTTTTTTTTAACCTTGGGGTCAGTTTGTTTCAACAAGTTTCTTTTGGCTTAGTAGTACTCCTTTCAAAAGTCCTGCTCACTTTTACCCACTTGTATTGGGGCCTATCCCATGTATGGATTGTGTAAATAAGTTACCAGAACTACAAATTGTAAGCTCTGCAAATCAAGGGAAGCATTACAAGGTGAAATATTCAAGAAAGAGATTTTGTAGAATGATTATATTTTTAGAAGAAACTCTTAGAAGGTTTCAGAATGTGTAATTATTTGTTACCCTTCTGCTCAGAATAGCTTAAATGGTTCCTTCCCCTGCATCCATCAAATCTCCATTTATTCCCATAACAGCCCTTTGTGGGCTCAGAGGGAACTGGATAAAAGTTACCTAGTAACCTTCGTGGTTGAGGAAACTTTCTAGGGTAACACTGTAAGCATCATTCCATGCTATAAAATTAACCAAAAATCACACTTCACGTTATATAGAATGAAATAGAGTTGTTTTAACAAGATGGGCGGTGACAAATTTGATATATAAATAAATAAAATAAAAACCTTCCCCAAGGTGATGGCCTTGAGATGTGGTTCTAGGACTCTCAGAAAGTTGACCTACAAACAAAAATAATCTTTTTTCTCTTTCTTAGCTGCTGGAGGTGTTCTGTTAATCCAAATTTCATGTTATTATGTGTTAAATTCTTTTTGTATACAGTATATGCATTTTTCTCTGTACTTTTAAATGCCAGGAGTTTTTTGCTTTTGTTTTTTAAATGTTTTTACTGAAAAATTGCTTCTCTTTTCTCACTGTTTGCTATTTGCTATTATAGGTAGTCCTTGCTTACTAACGATAATTGGGACTGGGAACTCTCTTGATAAGCAGCATGGTCATAAAGCATGACATCATGTGACCGCACCGACTTATGTCAGCAGTTCCAATTGCCATTGTTAGGTGAATCCTGCATGGTCACACATCACATGATCGCCATTTGCGACCTCCTACCAGCTTCCCCATTGACTTTGCTTGTGAGAAGCTGGCAGTGAAGATTGCACATGGTGATCACATGTCTGTAGGATGCTGCGATGTCATAATTGCAATCCCATTGCCAAGCACCTGAATCGCAATCACATGACTGCAGGGACACTGCATTGGCCACAACTATGAGGACCCATTGTAAGTCCCCCTTGTTCAGCACTGACATAACTTCAAACAGTTGCTGAACAAGTGGATCTTAAGCAAGGACTACCTGTATCTTAGTAACAATGTACTCTTGCATTGACTCTGATTAGAAATTGATAATTCTTGCATTTTGAACTTACATAGTTATATTTGATAAAACAACTTTCCCTAATTTACATTTACTAGTTGCATGTACTGATAATGTATGTACCGATGTACTGATAAATTGGAGATATAGAATACCAATTTGCAATAAAACAGTAATAAAAAGAGGACAAAATAAAAATAACTGTAGTGGGTAAAATAACCCCTTTCTTTGCACTATTTGTCACTGATAAATACAGTATAACTTTACAAATGAGATTATATATCTGTTTCTTATTAAGAATAACTTTTAATTAGGGACTTTAGGTAGTTTGATAGTGTTAAAGCAACATATTTATCTAATCT